TTCCCGACAGAAGCAGCCAAATTGTGATTTGAAATGTCTTGGTATTTCATGGAGTCTATAATGCCATGTAGCCTAACGAGGTTTCCAGGGGGCTTTTGGAGGAAAAACAGCCTCAGAACATCACAGAACCTCCACCATATTTTGCAGTTGGGATAAGGTTCTTTTCATTATAGTCATTCTTCTTTATACACCAAACCCATCTTGAGTGTTTATTCCCAAAAAGGTCTCTTTCGTTTCATCAGGCCATAGAACATGGTTCCAGTCAAAGTTGTATTAGCAGTTGGCTAATGTGTCTGGTGGTGGTTTTGGAGACTTGGTGTCCCCAAGATTACTTTTTTCTTCTAATTCTACAACTGTGATCCTTGGATTTTTTGTCTCTTACCGTCCACCTCACTGTATGTGGGGACAAAATAGACCTGGGTCCTCTTCCAGGCAAGTTTGTAACTATTCCAGTTGATGTCCGTCCTTTAATGAATACTTGTACCTGCACAATATTTCGTTTGCGTTCTTTACTGTTTACATTGTTTACTTGTTTGCACTATGTATACTGCTGTTTGCACTTTCTTGGCTTTTATAGTATATGTTTGTATGCACTCCTCACTCCTGCTTAGTAATATAGAATGTATAAAAGGAAAGGGACTTTTCACAAGAAAAATGAGGTTTTGTTTGGGTAAATAGTCGCTCACCAGTCACCCAGTCAGCATGACTCAGGTGCTATTAGGAGTGAACTTTCCAATATGTGAGCACTAAACCGATGAGTGTGAGGAAATGACAAACATATTGCCTCAGTGCTGAATCTAAGCAGCTATGACCCCCCCCCAGGGGCATGCTCCACTTGCCTGGTGTCAGCTACGGGATCGAGCCTCTGGAGGAGTCCTCCAGCTTCCAGCACTTAGTATACAGGCTGGAAGATGTGCAGGATGAGCCTCTGGTGTGTGGGACGCTCCTTGAAGACCAAGAGCATGACCTGCATGCGGAGCAGATTCACAAGCTCCATGCGCCCCCTAGTGGCCCCCTGCCCCGGGTGAGTGACACACATTCAGCCCCACTCATCCTAGCACCCCCACCCCTGTTAGCACTAATGTCCCTTGTTGCCCTCGGTTCCAGAGGAAGCGGGCCGTGCTCCAGCAGACCCACTACGTGGAGCTCTTCTTGGTGGTGGACAATGATAGGGTGAGCAGTGGGAAGCAGCCGGTCAGTCATCCATCATTTTCTAAAAAGTCAGGTTTTCCACATAGACTCATTAAGTCCCTCCTTCTCTTTTGCAGTTTAACTTCCGAAACAGGAACCAGACGGTGGTACGGGAAGAAATGGTCGAGCTCGCCAACTATATAGACAGCGTAAGTCCATTTTGAGTGCATAGTTAATTACCATTCTAAGTTTTAATAAAAATGTTCTGAATCACTTTCCCGGTTAAGCCTGCATCGATTGCATTAATTGCTATTAAGCAATTGCCTAGCGAGTTTGGCATCAGTGGCTGTGTTCGGAAGGTTGTGAGTTTGAGCCCCAGCCTTTGCAAATAGTCATATCTACGCTGAGCCCTTGAGCAAGGCCCCTAATCTTCTGAAATGCTCCGAGGGGCAGATAAATGGCCAGACCCTGGGCTCTGACCCCAAGCTTCTTCACACTCTGTCTGCCTGTTTGCCTGATCTGGAGAGATACATTACATTGTGAGGACCACATGTCCCCGCAATGTGATAAAAACCTGTTATTTTGACGTTGTGGGGGTGGTTTTTTCAATTGCATAGAAATCGATGACTGCAATCAAACACGAAAAATGCCAAAAGTCTCATATTTTGTTTGGTTACATAATTACAAACGTGTGTGTGTGTGTGTGTGTGTGTGCCTGTGCGTTTGTATGTATGCATGTGTGTGAAAGGAGAGCAAGATGGGGCATGCAAACAGAAGCATTCCAATTTTCTTATGATAATAAAGGATCATGCCCCACTCCTCCCCCAGCACTCCTTAGTATAGTAGTATAGCTCATGTAGTAGTATATATGTAGTATAATGCCTGCATCTGACATGTCTCCCCCTCCCCTCCCCTCCTCTTATGTCAGATGTATAACGCCATAAACATCAGGATTGTGCTGGTGGGGCTGGAGATCTGGAACCAGGGCAACCAGATCAGTACGGATGGCAATGCAGGGGAGGTGCTGCACCGCTTCGTGCAGTGGAGGCAGCAGGTCCTGTTGCCGCGGCGCCGACACGACAGCGCCCAGCTCATCCTGTGAGTGCGGGGAACGCGCCCCCTGCTGCCGCCCCCCCTCCCCACGCCGTGTCTGTCTGCCCGTTCTCTGATTGGCCCGCCTGTGCTACCCCCCCCCCAGGAAGAAGGGCTTCGGAAGCACGGCCGGGATGGCCTACGTCGGCACGGTGTGCTCGCACAGCCTCGGCGGGGGCATCAATGTGGTGGGTCGGCCGCTTCTCCTCACCCGTGCGTCTGCTCTCTCTTGTTTTTGCTCTCTTGTAACAGTACTTTGCTCTCTTTCCGTTACGTTTCCTTTGCGCTTCCACAGTTCAGCAACGTCAAAACGCAGCAGTTCGCGTCCATCGTGGCCCACGAGTTGGGCCACAACCTGGGCATGAGTCATGATAACGGGCGGGACTGCCGGTGCGCTGCCTCCAGCTGCATCATGAACTCCGGGGCGACGTGAGTGCAGCCGCTCTCACCATCCTCAACGCCGCCTCTTCATTTCCTTGGTATCCATTCAGCTAACGGCCCAAAATCTCCGCCCTCCTGCCTCCAGCGGTTCACGCAACTTCAGCAGCTGCAGCGCCGACGACTTCGAGAAGCTGATACTGGGCAGCAGGGGTCGCTGTCTGCTGAACTCCCCCCGTCCGGAGGAGGCCTACAGCACCCCCTACTGCGGGAACAAGCTGGTGGACGGGGGGGAGGAGTGCGATTGCGGCACGGAAGCGGTGAGGGCTGCGGGGGACGGGAGGGGGAGGTTTGTGAAACAGGCTCGGAAACGTGTGAAGTGTATAATCTGGTTGACGAAAATGCTACGCGTGTAGCAGGACAATGTTGGAGCCACATGGCTACATCGTTTGGGCTCCTAGCCTAGACGTGAGCCAGTACGACGACGCACAGCTTAGTACTGGCGTATCAGCTCCATATAAGGGTAACGGCAAGAATGAGCTTTGAAGGTGCCTTTTCTGTACTGACCAATCATTTGTCCTCCACTCTTCATGTAGGAGTGCAAGAAGGATCCCTGCTGTGAACCCAAGACATGCAAGCTCAAGTCCTGGGCACAGTGCGCTGATGGGGCGTGCTGCAAAAACTGCCGGGTAAATCCCCTCCTCCCCCTGCAGGGGGCTCCAGAGGCAGGGTGACTTGGCAGATTGTCATCCACCCCGAATCCCATCGTTATTTATAGCAGAAGCTTCGCCTACCAGACTGTATGCCATCTCCAGCCTGTAACACCCTTTCTTCTGCCGTCTTGCTTTGTCTTAGTTCCTTACGGCCGGTTCCGTGTGCCGGGCTGCCAATGACGAGTGCGACCTGCCTGAGTACTGCAACGGCACCTCCTCGGTGTGCCAGAGTGACATCTACAAGAAAAACGGGCACCGGTGCAGAAGCGGTACAGCCTACTGTTACAGCGGGAAGTGCAAGCACTATGACGGACAGTGTCAGGCGATTTTCGGCCCAAGTGAGTCGGTCCTCCTGGCATATAGGTCCACTGTGGATAGCCTTCATCCAAAATCTTCCAAAAATGTATTAAATTACTTTCATAAAATGCATTACTTCTTGCCCATTTGACTTCCTCTCCCCGGGCCCTGGAGGATGGGCTCCCCCTTTGAGTCTGGTCCCTCCCAAGGTTTCTTCCTTCCAGGGAGTTTTTCCTTGCCACTGTCACCTATGGCTTGCTCACTGGGGGCTTTGGGCGGGGATAATGTAAAGCGCTTTTAGACAATGTAATGTGAAAATGCACTATACTAATAAAATTGAACTGAATTACTCATAATTCATAGCTGCTTAGATTCAGCAACTAATTATTCTTTGTCTGAAACTCTAATAAAATAAGCAAAATATCAGTAACATAATAGCATCAATTAACCTTGTATTATGCTCAGTTATTGTGTTGTACTTTTTCTATTAAAATAGCAGTATTTTACATGCAAGTCCTCACATAGCACTTGGCTGTCGGGATTTGAGTACTCCACAGTGCCTAATACCCCATTGTTTTCTCCTGTAGTCAATCACTGTTCTAACTATGCTTTTTGCAGCTGACTTAACACTATAAGACAATGATACCCCCTCCTCTAAATTAAGGATCATAATTTTCAAAACCTGAACTTGAGCGCCCTCTGCTGTAGAGTCACTGTAGTGGGAAAAAAACAGTTCCAGCTGGACAATGGAGCATATTCGACTTGTCCTCCTGACCTGTGTGTGTGTGTGTGTGTGTGTGTGTGTGTGTGTGTGTGTGTGTATACGCGCGCTCAGAGGCCAAGGCTGCCCCGGAGGTATGCTTTCACCACGTCAACCTGATGGGAGATCGCTTTGGGAACTGCGGCTTCCAGGGGAACAGCTACAAGAAGTGCACCAGCAGGTCAGTTTGCCAAGAGAGCGTTACACACTTTCCCCCCCAATGTATAAACCAGTGCCCCCTTTATGGCAGCTATGGCTACAACCGCCCCCCCGACCGCAACACCCCCTGTGTTCTCTGCAGCAATGCCATGTGTGGAAAGCTGCAGTGTGAGAATGTGCAGATGGGAACCGTCTTTGGCATCGAACCCGCCATCATCCAAACGCCAGCCGGTGGGACCAAGTGCTGGGGCGTGGATTTCCTGCTGGGCTCCGACGTCCCTGACCCAGGCATGGTGAACGAGGGAACCATATGTGCGGAAAACAAGGTAGGACACAGCCAGTGGCGGATGGAAGGTTCCTTTCCCCTTTTTTCTGTCCCTATAATATGAGATCATGCCAGCTCTGATTGCAGGCAGAGTGTCACTCAGTCCATTGTGACACTACCTGTGATCAGAAGGTTGCTGGTTCAAATCCCGTAGCAGGCACAATTTCACTGTTGGACTCTTGAGTGATGCCCTTAACCCCATTCACTGCAGGGACTGTCTGATCCAGAGTTCTTAAAATGTACATTGAATAACAATGTATATAAAAAGTATCTGTTAGATAAATAAAATGTTAAATGTAATCTGCCATGGCCAGATGAAAGCTCCAATGAAATTTGGTGCTTACCTTGCTTTCCCCAGGTGTGCTTGAATTATGAGTGTGTAAGTGCCGATCTACTGAAATATGACTGCGACACGCAACAGAAATGCCACGGTCATGGGGTACGTACTGCTGCTCAAAATACCCCCCTGTCATTTAGTGTTAACCCCACCACCCTTTTCTGTTACAAACGGTGGCTCTACTTAAAGTTAAATGACTGCTATGGATTTTGGGCCTTGAGCGTAGAACCTGTTCCTTCTTCTGTAGGTGTGCAACAGCAATAATAACTGTCACTGTGACGAGGGCTGGGCCCCCTCCAACTGCAAGGACAGAGGCTACGGGGGGAGCGTGGACAGCGGCCCCACATGGAACGGTAAGGAAGAGAGGGGTGCCGTCGCTGCGGAGCTCACAGTACAGGCTGAGTCACTCACACCTACCCGCGCCGTCCGCCTCCCCTCATCCGAGCACCGGTGGGGGCGTCGCAACACCGCAGCGGCTGCGTAGGCGCGTCATTCGTCCACGCGCTAACCCCGCCTCCTCCCTGTAGACAAGGACACCTCCACTCGGGATGGCCTGCTGGTCTTCTTTTTCCTGGTGCTCCCAATGCTAGTCCTGGGCGTCTACGTCTTTCTCAAGAGGGATGAACTACGGAGGCGATTCTGCAGGTGCGTGTAGCCAGTAAGCGCGGCTTGGGAAACGGGTGTCAAGTTCTTGCCAGGGTCTCACAGCTCAGCCAGAAACATCTCCCTAAGTGAGAAGTAACCCCAATGTGGTGATCTCCAGGTCTGTGTCAGACTCAACTGCCCCCACAGTTATGCAAGGGCCAAAGACAGTGACTTAATCCACCCAGTACACCCCTCATCTAACACATTCTTTTCAAGCTAAATATCTTGGAGAAGAGGCACATGGTCCTTCAGCCTGTCAACATGGAACTGTGTACCGAGAGGACGTGTTAAGCAGATATCGTAGTTTTGACTTGACCCATTGTCTGAGCTCACAGGCCAAACTTGCCTGTGAGCAAAGTCAGTCCTGTCCTTCCGCCTTGAGCCGCTCAGTGCTCTGTGACTTGACACAGCGTGACACCACTCTCTTCTGCCACCAGGGGCACCAGCGGTAGAAACAGCAGAGCCGCAGCAAGCGGCAACCGGAGATCCCCTCAGAGGAACACCCCGGGCAGTATCGTCAAGGATGGAGTGAGTGACCCAACCGTAACCCTTTAACCCAGTTAATGCATTATGTTCTCCATGAACTCCCCTAAGGAATAGCCGCACAGAACAAGGTCAGCTGCTAGTATACCCAAAATTAAAGGCAGACAAAAGCCATTGTCCTCTGCCTTGTGATTTAAAGCTCCACATGCTTATCTGTGCATGAAGTTCTTCTCTGTCTATACTGATCATTAATGTTTGTTTAATTAATTAATTAATTAATTAATTAATCAATCAGATGTAGTTTTGTGGAAGTCACTGGTAAACTGTTTGCAGTTTGCATAGAGTAAACTAGTGTTCTTCTTCATGTACGGTGTTCATCAATCGAATGCTGTTTGAGACCGATTTTAAAACCATGTGTTTACAGTTTCACCTTTAACTAAAATGCAAACAAAATGTAGGAATGACTGAGTTTTTTCCCCTTCTTTTCTATGATGAAAGCATCAAGCTCAGTTGTTACCATCCCAGGAGGTAAATGATATGTGTACATACATATATACATATAACCATTTCTGCTGCTTGGAAGGTCTGGTTCCACTTTTCTGTCTGCTTCTCCAGTGGGCTGCAGGATCAAGCCACAAGACCCCTCCATTAAAATCATCAGCTTGCAGGCGCTTTGGGCAGAACCTTCCTGTCCAGTTGGCACGCTACATAAAATCCTGAGATTTTTTTAAAAAAATGGAGCTGGTGTAATCTGAAGCTCGTAACTAGCAGGGGTTTTGGGAGCTTCGGGCTGGCTTCAGATTAAGCAGTGCTTCATTCCTGTCAGTGGTTATGTACCTGGGAATAGGGGTTGTAGATGGAGGCTTTGGTCTCTGCTTGCATGCTTCTAGGGCTATTAGAAGGAGCTTGATCTTTGTGCTTTTTCCTGTATCGGGCCTCATTTCCCTTTCACCAATGAAGGATATCGCAACTTCTTCAATCTTTTCCCACAAATCTTGCATTGATTTAAGTCCGAATAGTCAGAATTCCTGGAAACTCCAGAATCACAGGAGTTGATCTGTATCAGAGTTGCACACTGAGGCATCTACCCATTGCATTTCCTGCTATATGTTCTTCCTCCCGCTCTATTTTTGCATGTTGTTATGTTCAGGAGGACTGTTCTTGATCACTTGGGGTCCATCATCATGCTGAGAGTGCCTTTTCCCATGAATCTGGAACCACATTTTCTTTGTGAACCCTAACCCACGTATCCTGACGGGTGTTGACCTTGTGCCCTTTCTGTATACTGTAGGTTGTGCAGACCAACAGAACAGCATCTGTGCCAAGCTATGCCCCACCTCCACAACGTCCACGGTAAGAACCCCCCTCCATCTGTCGTACAGAGGAATCGACTTTAGCGTGTGACCTGTCCTCTTCACTTCTTCCCACAGACCACCTATGACAACGCAACTTGTGCCTCAAAGACATGCTCCCCCACCTCCACTGTAGTCCCAGTTGCTGTCCGTGGGGGTGGTTTAACATGGTGTGTTGCACTGACTCTTCCCCCACTCATTTGGGCTGGCAGTCACTCAGAGACCAGTTGGCGACTGGGCACCGAGTGCAATAAGGAACTGCGCTGTCGACGAGAATCGCAGAACTCTGGCCACTTGATAGCCTGAAACCGTACCTACGCAATAAGACCACTGCAAACTATTACCCCATACTGGCCCTTGAGTGCTACCTTAGGAATGTGAAAATATGTGATTAGCCCTTGAGTTAGCAGTACAGGGGAATAATCGGTCTTGTTTTGTGTATTATGTGTTATTGTATGTGTGTTTTTCATAATTCTTTTTTTTTTTTTAATATATTCAAAATAAATAAAAATAAATATTTTTAATGACCTTTTTAAAGTACCACTGGTTCTGCACTGGTTTGACTGAGGTCCAGCGTACAGTCATATCTGTCACAACATTGCTGCACTTTGATGTCCCAGAGTACTATGCTGTTTTGTTTATATAAAATTATGCCAGAAGAATTCCTGCTGTTATGCTTCCTTAAATGTTGTTTTTTTGCTTAGGTTTCTGCCTCAATTTTTGGATTAAATTTAAAATAAAGCCTTAATATAACTGATTACCCTACATTCTTGAACATAAATAATCTATTTTGTCTCAAAGTGCTGTATTCATGAGGTTCAGGTTTGTTTCAACTACTGTATATTTATACATTGTTTTAAGCAGACTGTCTATCTCTTGGATTGAACCAAAAGCCACGAAACCTTGTCCACTATCATACAGATAACGAGAGACAAATGAACACTGAAATAAATGTTTTTTTAGAATCTACATCTTGTGCTTCCATCATAAAACCCACACTATTGGTGTATCTATTCAGGTCTGATCGGTTATTTATGAAAAAACTTTGGTCATTTGTTCTCATCAGTGGTGGGCACAGCTAACCAAAAAGTTATCTTCATTAACCGCTAATCCACTAACTCCAAAGTTTAATTCAATAGCACTACACTCATAAACCAGAAAAAAAAAATAGCGGAAACTAAGGATAACTACTAACCGGCAACTTGTATTACATGAATTTAGTTTCGGTTTGTTTTTGGACTCTGAAACCCTTAAAAGTATACACACGACAGCTGAAATTCCAACTTGTTTAGCAATTTAGTTACATAGAGCTGGAGTGATTACCTGGGGGGTGTTTAGGACTTGCCCAATTTGTGATCGTTGGATTTTGCAGTGTCCGGAATAAATTTTCTTTTAGTAATATTCCGTTTATGAGATTGGAGTATAAGCGTTCTCTTCTGAGGAGTCCCAGTCCGTGACTGCATGGTCCATGCTGACATTTTGTCCTTAGTGCCCTTGTTTGGGGTCTACAAACATTACACCGTTTACCCAGAACTAGGAAGGAGGGTCTCGGCTTTAGTCTACAGCTCTGTCAGTTAGAACCTAGGAAATAATCAGGGGCCGAAGCAGGATCATTTCTTGGTTAGCCAGATAACTTGTTGTATTTAACGTAACGTCGGCTAACGAAAAAGTTAGCAGTTCCCTTGAACAAAATAAAGTAAATCAAATGCTGCTTTGAAATATACTCTTTAATGTATCTAACTGAAATTAAATATTATTCAGTGGACCTTTATCATATAAATTTGGACATGTATACCTGAGCTTCTTAAAAAGTACTAAGGAATAAATTATTTAAATTGATGGATTTGTTATTAAAGAACTGATGGGACCACAGCTAATTCAAGTTTCTTTATAATGTACACCAGAGCTATTTTAAGTCATACCTGAATATACTGATCTATAATCCAGCTGCTTTTACAGTACAGGGTCATTGATGAATGTTGATATCTTTCATTATAACTTGCTGTATAAGTTACATGACTTTCCTCCAGCCCATATACACATTTTTTAATTGTTATTTCTAGAAAATACCCAAGATACCTCATAACTTAGTACTTTTATCATCTAATTGTCACGCCTGGCTCGTACGATCCTCGTGTGTGCCACGCCCACCTCGTTACCTCGTATTTATTCCCGATTGTCATCACCTGTTTCCTGTTCCTCTTGGCTTGTCCTGTGTATTTAGTCCGTGTCTGAGTTAGTCTTCCCAGATTAGTCATTGATGTTGTCTGCCATGCTGTTCGTGTCCCGACGAATAAACCCCTTTGCTACCCGTATTCACGGCTCATCTCGCCTGGTTCCCCGCTCGCCCGCACGCTCATAACACTAATGTCAATTATTGTTTATTTAATTATATCCGTTTACTTACGAGACCAAGGCTGGAGGTGCAGGATGTGAATACAAAAACACAAGGTTAAAAGTTTATGATGTTGCTATGCTTCCAAAAGCTCAGCCTTTAACCAGCTCTGGAACTGCTAGTAAAACAGTAGATGAAGTTGCTGCCAGAATAATATTTTGAATGCACAAGGTACTATATGCTAGTTAACCATCAACAGGGAAACCATAAACCACCTCTTCTTGTTTTGGGGATATAGCAGGTTATATTTTGTTAATAAGAAAATGAGAGACAATGGGAGACACGACTGACAGAAAGCTGGTATTAAATCATCAATTATCCTAGAACCAGTTTTTTACATTTTTTGTAACTGTCTATCCAATCAAACTGATTCTATATGCTTATACAGTAAAGGACATTTCAGTGCAATAAAAATATTACCTGTTGTGAAATGTCTTCAAATACCACTGCATCATATTTAGTGGTGTTTCATTCGACCATGCGGGCCATGTTGACACAAAGCTTATCCTACGACAGCTGTGAAACATTCTAGATGAAATGCCGTATGGACACATCCTAGTTAGATACCACAGAATTCCTCTGCATGGTAGTAAGAAAAGAAACATACACACAAATGAAAGCACTGAATTCTTGGCGATACATTAGAACCAAGCAAGTGCTACACATGTATTGTTTACTGTTTATTGTCTGCGGAGGCCTGGGTGAAGAATGAATTACCTCACCATGTGATTTTTTCCAGTGCTCAGTAGAGAACAGTTTTCTGTGTGCCAATTTATTCATAAAACTGCATTTTTACATGTATTATAAGAGAGCCACCAAATGTAATTATGCAGTACTACTTGCACGTGTTTATGGTAAATATTTGTTATAAGGTAGTATTGAAAAGATGTAGTACTGTATCACTGGCTTTATATATTTTTTTGTTTCTAAAATGTTAATTTGTATACAATTTGTGCATTATTATTATTATTTATTATCTTCATTTATTAAGCTTGGGTGACATGGTGACTCAGTGGCTATTGCCTCATATCTTCAGGGTTGGAGATTCAAACCCTAATTTTGCTTTGTTTGTATGGAGTTTATTATTTGGATTTCCTCCTACAGTCTAGATTAAATTTCCCAATGTGAATGCTGTGTGATAGCCTGGCATCCTATCTATAGTGCACCTCTTCATTGTGCCCTTTCCATCCGAGGGCTCCAGCCCCCCCGTCAGTTGCAAGACAAATTTATAGGGCAGATTGTCCTAGTGATGTTGGCAGTCCTTTACAGAATTTTGAAAATGAACGTTAATTAATTTCCACTGAACAACATTCACTGTAATCAACCAGCATTTTCGCACAGGGCTGGTATCCATGGTTACAACATTGTTTACTCGCTTTCATCTCATATTGGCATCTTAATTGTTTCTTGGTGTTTTTTTTTTTTTGCCACTCGCTGTTCAGTAAAGCTTGTGTGGAAATTTGGCTTGATTTTATCCCTTTACTGCAACTCCAATTGTTTCTTCTCATGCTTTTCCACTTACTCCTTCTAATTTTGGCCCAGCCCCTTTTCCATCCTTTCAGCCAACATGCCAAATATAAAAACAGAAATAAACTTGCAGTCTGGTCTAATTTTGTAATCCTTTAAAAATTATAGTGAATTTAAATCAGTCATTGTCAGATATTCTGTCACCTGCCAGCTATGTGTCGCTTATGTGCTAGAATGACACATTCTGTATAAAACAATTGTTCACGACAGCTATAAAATTATATGCTGGCAAACTTAAACTGGCTAATGTGCCTTCATTACTGTGTGATTATTGTAATTATTGGTAGCTGTATTTGTTCAAATGATTGGTATACCATGGATAAGTGTGAATTACTGTGCTCATTTACCATGATCATTTCATTGTTAAAATGTTTAATTTGTACTATAAAGAACTAATTAATGATGTTTTTCTATTGTGGGGACCCCATGCTAATAAATGGTGTCCAATTTTTTAAGGATGTTAGTAAATAAAACCAGTAATTTGGACCAATTTCTGCTGATATTCCTGGCAAAACATCACAGATTTCTGTTCCTGCTTACTGTACAGTATATAAAAAGCAATATTTGTCATATTTTGTGACAAATATATACTACTAAATTCAAATTACAGTAATATTATTTATGTCAGTAGTACAAGAAAATATCTGTGTGCAGAAATGTGCACATACACACACACACACACACACACACACACACTTTTATATCGATACGACAGTCACCAAAGTAATAAAAACTAACCCTTCCAAAGAGGAGTAAACATATAAACATACAAAAGCAAAGAAAGGAAATTCTAAAGAAAAGTAAATGGTAGTGATACAGTTAAAACAATAGATAGAATTTATTTTCTAAGCATTACAGTCATTCTTCTACTTCATCTCACGCATACCTGAATAGTTAAATCTGATATTTCTATTTATGAAAATGCATTAGAAAATAATTACAAATATCCACCCTTCACCACTCGTACAGTGCAGCATTGTGGTGTGACTGCATATATTTATATGAAATTCTGTATTTGTTATATAAGGACTGACACAATAGAAGATACAGAGACATTGACATTGGGTTAGCCTTAGGTACATGGTGCTGTGCAGAGTATTGTAGTCTGAAGTGTATAGTTGGTACTTTATTTAGTGTGGCCACTTCTGCTCAAAGTCGGGACTTTTTTAGTTGTTCTTTTTAGGCTTTTGACAAGTGGACCAGTGCACTCTATAGCTGGGTAGGACTGTCAGGAATAAGTACACAGTCTGTAGCCACTTGGAAGGGTTAGCAAAGACCCACCTCTAATATGTATAGCTTAATAATAGGTAGGGTATCCGACAACCCATGTCAGCACTGAACTCCATCTTGTAATAATGACGGGATACAGACAGCTATTGAGGCCTGTGCAGACAGTTTTTGAAAGTGTTATTTTAATATGTTTACACCAGTAGCATGCAGTTTAACAAGTTATTAAAAGTTTAACTGCAATTTTGGCATTTTGTTTTGCATGTTTTTTAAAACAGACAGTATATATAAAACTTTCTTTATGAACTGAATTTATTTTCACAACCAGAGTCACGTATTTCAGGTTAGAGCTAACCACTATCACTGCCTTTAGAGGTTTTGTCCCCCTGAAAGCATGTCATATAGATCATATCATATCACACACTTACACTAAATGGCAACATTGTCACTGTCTTGATCAATGTTTCAATAATGTTATATTATTTTACATATATTTACATATATATATTTACATTTCTAGCGCTTAAATACGTTTTGTCCACCAGCACGTTACAAAAAACAGCGCTGACAATTGTGCTGACAACATGATAACTGGGAAAAAATAACGTTTTCAAATAACACTTGGTATTTTAGTGCTTACAAAAATAAAATTCGACCTTGTTATTAGGTGACAGAGCTTATTCCCTGTTAAATGGGTATAGATGTCGTATTTTTCCGCCCGCGATGCGGTTTTAATGCGGTACTATGTTTGAACATGTTCTTGTTTCCCACCGAAACAAATTCGGGGAGATACAGATCGTGTCGACGAAGTACAGGTACTTATATGATTCAGTGGTGGTCAGAAAATAATGCTAGTAATATGGTAGTTGAATCTAACTATTGAAATTAATTAATTGCGGTTTAGCTCGTAGTTATATAGCCAAATTAATTGTGTTTCACTTTGATTCTGCAGATTAGGTCGTCAGTTATACCTACAGAATGAATGACGGTTTAAGTATATCATTGTATGTCGATACAAATACAGATACCGATTTTATGTTCTTCAGTAAAATTGAAACATTTTGCATTTAGCATTCGAGCAATTTTGAAAGACTTATAATTCCGCAGGGCTTTAAGGGGATGACTGTACAAAGCAGAGATGCTGGACGTACCGCGAGACGCCCTATTGCGACCTCTGAGTCGCAGCGAGGTGCTGGGCTTGGTGGTCAGACTGACTATCTTCGGGGCCGCCACGTATTTCAGCATTAAATGGGTGGTGGAAGCACTGGACCCCACACACAAGCAAAAGCTGCAAGCCAAGAAAAAGGTACCTCTAAGCAGATGGAATTATAAAAATGTATGCAATTACCTCGTATAAACGCAGTAATGGAGTATTATCCCGTATTTGATTATATAATTATATTACACTGTTATTATAACCTGCCATTAGAAACGTCTTGTGTATTGATTAATGCTATTCTGTAGTTATAATGTGCACAATACAACTTAAACATTAACTAACCACATATTGTAAATGGCAGCACAGTGACTTATGACAAAATGTTTTGGAAGGCTGCAGGTGTACAGAGGGAGGTCAGGTTTTGGGTGGATAGGCACATACAGGGGTATCAAATACCAAAGGTGGAGAGAAAGATGGAATGGGGGGTAGGCAAAGATTAATTGGTTCAGAGAGTGATGGGGAGGCATTGCAAACAAAGGAGAGCAGGATGGGCAGTTACTGTATGGGCAGGACAATTGTTTGAAGAAGCAGGTGTGAGTGGGCATTCGTTATTTTTTTAATGGAAAACATTGTAGGGGAGGAGCTAGTGAAAGATATTTTGGCAAAACAACAACCCAAGATCACCAAACCTTCTGGGTTTCTGATAGACTAAGAAGCTAAGAAAGGGTTTTTAAAGACCAGGTGAGGTCATGTGTGAGAGAAAATTTAGAATTAGAATTTAGTGATCAGTGGTGTTGACACACCGCAGCACACAACAACAAAAATGTGATCTTCATTTAACCCATGTGTGACAATGTGACACAGCAGGGGGCAGCTAATTCAGGGCCCGGGGAGCAGTGCTTGGGGGCGGTACCTTGCTCAGGGTATCTCAGTGGTGCCTTGCTGGTCGGGGATTCGAACCTGCAATCTTTCAATTACAAGTGCGCTTCCCTACACTGCCCACATTTTAAAATGAGTCATATCAGGAGCGGATTCACTTCAGAGTCACAGACAGGTAGTGAATTATTAAGACATTAGATCAAAGGCATTCTTTGGAATGATGCATTCATTGTAATGCAGGTATCAGGAGAAGTCAGAAGGGAAGGTAAGTGTCCTGGTATTAAGGGTTTTCCAGTGCTGCTGGTGAATGTCCTACTCTCTATGCCGAGTTTCAGTCAGGGTCTCAACAATAATGACTTCTGTCCAATTTAATTAATACAGAAAAAAATGTCAAAACCCGTCACTTTTGCTTAGGCCTATAATTTCATTTAATCAAGTACTTGACAGTTAAAAATAAAGGAAAAGAATAAATACATTGTCTGGCACAATTGACCTCACGTGTACGTACTGCACTTTGCCACCAATATGCTATAATGTACACAGGGGCTCACTCTTATCCATTCTGTGTTACCGTCTGGGTATTGTGTTCATTATCTCCATCTACCACACAGTGACAGCTGCTGGAATTAATAACCCCAGTGTACAGGGACTAATGCATTCACTGACACTGGGTTTTAATGAAGACTCCGTATCTACATTCTCGTACTGTGTTAGTTTTACGGCATTTTTATGAACATCTGAGCTGTTTGCACTATTTGCACTATTGTACTAATAGTACTGCCAGATACTTTGTATTGTGTACAAAGTGATATACTCTTTATACTATGCACACTGGATTTCAGTACTGTATTGCTTCTGGTGCTGCATTTTTTCCATTCACTATTTTATTTTCATTTTATCTTTCTTTTGATCTATTTTTATTTAAAATATTATCTTTTATAGGATCTAGTACAGAAGTCGAGAATATCAGAGAATATTGCTATGTTGGGGAAATGCTGTAATTAATAACCCCAACAGACATTGCTAGCACGGGATAAAAGGGTTAATGAAGTTTTTTCCTATGTTTTTCAAAAAAAAAAAAAAAAAGAATGACCTAACTGGAGAATGATAATCAGTCTTCAGCTGATCATGATTTAAATTGACTACCAGCAGGTTAAGAACTGAGGTAAAACAAATGCACAAAGCGACATGCAAGATCAAGATCAGCAAAGCCTGTCTAATATTTCTAAGGGGACAAGGATATGTCCAGCTGGGGAAACGTTTGAGAACCAGCCTAAATACATTGCATGTTTCATGTCATGTCAAAACGCTAATCAGTATTTTAATAACCGCAGCTCCAGAATCTTGGAAATTATTCAGAATTGTGTAAATTCTTTAAATTCAGCAGTTCCTTAATGAAATTGGCTTAATTTATAATAGTGTGAGTTCTTTTTTAGGCAGAGCAGCTAATGAAACAGATCGGAGTGGAGGGGATCAAGCTGAATGAATATGAGATGAATATTGCTGCACATTTGATGGATACACAATGCATTAAGGTATGCCTTGTTTAAATGTGCCTCAAACGTGCATATTTATTGGTTAAATTAATTAATTTAAAAATGTATTATAAAAAAATTATCTAATCACCACAACCCCACATTAATATTGTATAATATTATTTGCATTGTGTTTTATACTGAACTGGCCCAAAAAAATCATACATATCTATGTCCATATATCTCTGATTCAGTTAAGATAATTCCGATTCTGCTGGCACTGAAGGACAGCTGATTGTGTGGTTAGAGTGTCTGTGGTTCAGCTACGTGAAACGCCGTAATGGAGTTAAGTGTTCCTGACTCTGGTGTGATCAGGTGACCTGGCGGGACATTGCTGGGCTCGATGAGGTCATCGCCGAGTTGCAGGATTCCGTCCTCCTGCCCTTTCAGAAGCGACACCTGTTTGCGGTCTCCAGATTATTTCAGCCCCCCAAAGGTACCGTCTTCCACAAGGCATGCCAAGCATCGACCTCAAGTATAATTATTTAGATGCGCTCAACATCGCAGCAAGAACATAAAAGGATAACATTAACCAGATATGCAAGTTATTTGCATTACACTATACTAACATATGATCCATGGAGATTTTAATATAGTCATCAGTCCAGGAATCTTCATGAAGCTTATATTTGGACTATTTGTGAAAATTCAGCATTTCTGCCTGTGCATGATAAAAGAGTAGAGAGAGTGGACGCTCAGGAATTGTCCCTGGATATATGTTCCTTTCACTCTCTCTACAGAGTATTATTAGAATTGGACGAGCTGCCTGTGTTCTGGCGCAGAGCAGAAGGAGCCTTTGGCTGTTTGAGCTGCTGGATACAGCGGAAAATGCCTCTCTGCTCTAGGATCATTTGTTTGAGTCTACCCCAAATTTGCACGTTGTGGGTTATTTTCCGCAGTTTAGCTATCAATAAAAGAACCTGTGAAGTTATATAAATGAGAAAAAGTAAGTAAAATAAGAAGTTGGACATCTCAGCCATGACTGTTGGAAGCAGGTGTAAGCAGCTATTCTTTAAATGTAGGTGTACTTCTCTATGGGCCCCCTGGCTGTGGGAAGACTTTGATCGCCAAGGCAACAGCCAGAGCCTCAGGGTGCCAGTTCATGAACTTACAGGCATCCACATTGACGGACAAGTGGTACGGCGAATCACAGAAGCTGACTTCTGCTGTGTTCTCATTGGCTATGAAGATCCAGCCCTGCATCATCTTCATAGATGAAATAGGTGAGTTTGGCATTCAGTGTTAGATTCCAGCTTCTAGTTACGGTGCTGTAGATTGCACTGCAAACAGTATCCTTTTGGCTTGTGGATTTAATTTATTTAACCGTAATTTTCTAAGTGAACATATTTTTTCCAAAACAGCTTCACTGGTCTACTAAAGAGGTGACCATTGCCAGGCCGCAAGGGCGATGAGATACACTGGCCTTTGCTGCGCGTTGACTTTGTGCTGCACTTAGTGTTTTGAGGTGAATTTGGCAACAGCTGAACTGCATTCTGGGCCCTGCAAGACTGTACTTATCAAAGACCAGATCTGGCCGTCCAGCTAACAAGCCACCCATTCTGAATTTGTATAGTTTGAAGCTGTGTTAGTGCAGGCCAGGTTGTAGGGGAGTTCTGTGCATGACTTTCATTACAACAATTTGAATCAGTCAGTTTTTAATACTGGGGTGACTCTTAACTGTCATAAGGATAATAGTGTCATGGTGTCACTTTGCACTGCTTGATTATGTTAAGTCTGAGTTACATATTCTTTTATACACACACAAAGACACCTGTAAAAGTCTCTCAAATAATTCTGAAATTTAGCATGTAAGATGGTCCACCAGGAAAAGGGTTTTTAAGGGTAAAACAGAATGACATCAGACATGCAGTTAAGACGCTTTTGGTCACTGTCATGTAAAATGGGCATCAGTTTCAGTCTTTGCAGTGTTCTTCCTCTGTGGACCTGTATGGAGAAGTGGTTCTACTTGGTAGATAGTTAACTTTCCAAATCTGGGTGCATCTGAATTATATCTGTGAAACCCGTACATCACCTATTGGTGATGTCCACACTTTTCTAAGAACATTCATCTAATCATATTCTGAAACTGCACATGAGATTTGTCTGAATGTAAAATGAATGAAATCAATCTTCTGACAAATGCAGTATGTGGCACTGCAGGCCCTGATTGGAAGGTCGTCAGGTCAAACCCGTGACTGGCAGAGTGATGTCACCCTTGGGCTCTCAAGGTCCCCTTAACCCCAATTGGTCCAGGAAGTGTTTGACCCCCCTTTTTGATCCTCACTTCCACGTCATTTTGCAATAAAGGAGTTTGCTAAATAAGTAAATGCAGTGTCAAAGCATTACTATGTTAGAATTCTGGAAGTTCAGAATACTTTTCCACAATCATCTGGCATTATGTATCCTCACATTGAAGAGGATGGGACAGCTTGCATGTGTCAAGTGACTCATACCCTGAACTGAGTCATTAAACTTTGGTAATAGCTGATTCGGTCGCGCCTCTCTGTGTTTCAGACTCGTTCCTACGGAACCGCTCCAGTCTGGACCATGAGGCTACTGCCATGATGAAGGCTCAGTTCATGAGCCTATGGGATGGTCTGGACACCAGCACAGACTGCCAGGTACTACTAGAGCTTATGTTTGTGTGCTTGCCTTCTTCGCTCAGTGGAGTCCCTGCACTTCTGACTGTACAAAAAAAAAGAATAAACAAACATAGTGATACACTTATTGGTTTTGCACTTATTGATTATGAATCATGGTTTTATATATGTAGTGTTATATTATGTTTTCCCCACATGAAAATGGCAGTCAGACATGCCTTGTTGACAGTGATGTGAATAGCCGATGGCCACTGGGCATCGCTGAGATGTCGTGGTGTCTCTGTAGGTCATGGTCATGGGCGCTTCAAACAGGCCTCAGGACATAGACCCTGCCATACTGCGAAGGATGCCTGCCACCTTTCACATCGGCCTGCCGGTACATTCCCCGTGACTCTCCTAAAAGAGTAATGCATGGACTTGTTGTGCAGTATTGCTCAAAATGCAGAGGATCTGCATATTCATAATGAATGTTTATTAATACTCTCAGTATGTGAAATAGGGATTCAGCTCACACAGCCCTCCTGATGAACTTCTGCCCTGGTTTTCCTCCTTGGCTGTGGTTAGATAACGACACACCTGCTTCATAATGTGAAATAGATGATCCCTTGCTGTGCAGAACTGGTCCTCTGTGTTCAGGACATTGTCGATTTTATATATTTTTTTTTATTTTTAGTAATTCATAGGATGCTTTACCTTTTAAATTGCATTACAGTTCACGAACTGGCAGTTCATGATCGATCTTGATTCCTTGTCTTTAGAACCAACGTCAACGTCATGACATCCTAAAGTTGATCCTAGCTGGAGAGAATGTGAGTGCATGTCACTTCCTATTGCTGTTTTGATCAGTCCTCAAAAAACTTTTTCAGTCCGTTTATTGAAGCGTCTGTACAACAATATGTAGTCCTGCCTTTCAGGGTTTTTCCCCTAAGCGTCACTGTAATTTGCCCCTCCCCCCCAGCTCAGCAATACTGTTAACCTAAGGGAAATCGCAGAGAGGACAGAGGGATTCTCGGGCAGCGACCTGCGGGAGCTGTGCCGCGACGCCGCTTTGTACCGCGTCCGCGACTACGTCCGCAAGCAGCAGATGAAGCAGATTGCCCGGCAGCTGCAGGAGTGTGACACCGATGACGGGTAAAGGTCCAACCAGGCGTCACCACAGAATGCCCTCACCAAACATCTGATCTCTATTTGAACCGGCAGTTGTAAACCGGGATTGAAGCAATGGCCCATCTCAAAAATGTCCTGGGACGTTGTTTTCCCATGGTGTAAAATCTCTCTTGCTCTTGCTCTCACTCTCTCTTTTTCCAGACCAGTGAATGAGGACCGTCTGAGACCAGTGACTCAGCTGGATCTTCTCTTTGGCCTGGACAAGATGAAAGAGTCCAAGCATGCGGAGTCGTCCCAAAGCAGTCTGACAGAGATGCCCCTGGACTAGAATCCCTTCCCTAGTCTCTTGTCTCGCACCCATGTCTTGGAGTCTTAATGCCATAGATGAAGGGGTATCTGTCCCACCAGCCACACCCAGGCCTTCTGGAGTCTGCAAGGCAGCTGTCTGTCTTTCTGTCTCTCTGCTTGTCTTTCTTCCTGTCAGTCCGTGTGTGTCTGTCTATTTGTCATCCTTCCTGTTTTCCTTTCTCAGTCCTGGGTCCATAACGTTTTGTTATGGAAAAGAACAGAGTCCTCAGATTTAGGGGTAATCCATTGTCCCTTCCAAATAAATGAACATGTGTACATCTTGTCCCAATAAATGAAAAATAGTGACCTGCATGCCTTAGAAATGGAGTCCTGTAGAGCTTGTATTTATATTTTAAACACTAGGTTGGCCATTTATTTTAGTAGATGCCATCAGCAGTTGCTTTAGATGTGCACTAAGGTCTTTTTTTATCAGACACACTCTTACTACCATCACTAGAATGTTTTATTGGGAACGCTAGTGAGTTGTTCCTTTTCATTTCCACTTATCCTCTGCATTCTTACTGAAATGTTAAAGCTCAGGCTTGTATGAGTCATTTTCAGATGGACATAATCAGAAACATTGGCTGTGTGTCTCCATAGAGACCTGTTCACGTGGTCAAATGCCTGTCCTTATCAATTTTAATCTGGAAACGGGAAGTAAGGTGATTATGAATGTCGTCACCATAGTTTAGTGCCTGAAATGGCTTTTTTGATGTGTAATATGACTCATTAGGTTTAAATTGTATTGTAATAGTGATAATAAGTCATCACCTGCAGTTCATGGTAGTGAATTTATTTTGCAATATAAAGGATTTTAAACGTTTCCTGGTTTCTATGTTACCACTAGAGGCCACTACTGTTCCATTTTCAACTTTTATTTGGAGGGGGGGAAAATGTGCCGTTTCCCTTGTATTAATTATATTTTTAAAAGTATCAAATGTAAGCTCATATTAAAAATAATGAACTGAGTTCAACAAAAAAATTATAATTTATAATCAGTCCTGACCAGCTTAATTTCCCATGTACATTAACGTGTACATTTTAGGTTGGTCCTGAATTACTGTGAAGACAGTAAAGCCAATAGTCAGTGCTGAACAAATGAAAGATATTGAAAATGTACACACTTTCCAAAGCCGTGACCCTGGTAAGATCAAGGGGGACAGGGAGCTCTGATTGTTAAAGAGGACATTCCTCCATTTCCTCTTACAATATCTTGAGGCACTTTAAGTTTACAAAATAGCATCAGCAAAGTCCTTATGTACAGAAATTAAAATGTAACAAATTTAATCTATAATCATTTATATCCTCAATCACCGCACTATACTTAACATTTGCTTGGTAACCTCATACAGTCAGAGAGATATTATGCAGGCACAGCATGATGAAAAATTTCAGAATTGTTTTGTGAGCTTATTCCTGTTTGGAACAGATTAATACAGCCATGTAAGTTTCTTGGTTTAGTTTCCTCTTTGTTCTATACTCTTTGTTGCTGCCCTCAGTCACCATAGCATCCCACACAGTAATGCTCAAAAACCACCTTCTAAACATCTCATTAAATTAGCTAGCTAGCTAAAGAACCTAAAGCTGAACCGTCTGTTACCGCAATGAATGAAAAGCATTCTATTTGCTTCCTCTTCACCCGACAGAAAAAAACAAATTAACCTACATTTTCAGCTCCCCTGTGTCTATTCTGCATGCACTGGGAGTGTCCGTTTCTTCATGACTATTCATAGATAAACAGATAAGTGACGGTTAGCTCGTTAGCAAGCGACACCTTTCGGTTGGCATTAACATGGCGTTCTGCAGAGTGGCTCGGTCTCGCTCCAGTAACAAAAAGGCAGCAGCCCAACACGGAAACCAAATCATTAAAGTGTTTTCTCATTTAAGTAGTACTCAAAATAATTTCCCATTTGTTTACTTCGCTAACTGTTGCAGCAGCTTTCTGAGTTGTATGAGAACTAAGGAGCTAAGTATGAGAAAACAGAACGACAACAATCAATGCTTGGCTGCAAAACAAGTAACCTAGAAAAAGCTTGTGTTGACGTTAACGTACGTTATTTTGGTCCAACTGATGCATGTACCATAGACTTTCACACTCAGTTTTGGAACCAGAAATTCACACAATGATGAGTGGAAATAAATGGTTTCCCAAAGATATTTATGAAAATTGTTAAAAACCCCAACAAATAATTTTTATAAGCCCAGGCAGTGAAATCTTATTTGTTGCTTTTTTAGTGCACCAACTTGAAGTTTGCTTTCTTTTCAAGGTTAATTTCTGTCAGTATAGTGCAAATTCAGCTAGTGTAGCGGAATAATAGGACATTTTCTTTGATAAATATCCTGGGACACAAAGGCCATTAATTGCATACTATTTGTTTGGCAGGCTATTTTTGTTTGCATTAAAACTGAACGTGACCCGGTGTTGAGGTCAGGGAAAGTAGAGCTGCGATCATCAGATAGAGAGTATATAGGTTTGACCCCAGTGGTACAGACATCCATTTTGATCTGTGTTACTGGTCCAGAATGTTTACACCTAAAACCCCATGAACTCTCAGCTGTTTATGACAGCTTTCACCTTGTTGATCATTATATTTTTGGTTAATTTCTTTTACAAAGATAATGAGTGTAATTCCCCAACACTGTATATGATATTTACCATAACAGGAGTCTGGTGGTTACTGCCATACTGTTTTATGTAAGTAAAATGTGTTAGAAATAGAGTTTATGTATATGTTGGTTTGAGAAGCTTGAAATGAATAAGTTAAAAACATAACCATGCAAATGTTTCGGCTGAGTAGTTTGTTTCTGTTACACCTGCTTATTTTTCGGCATATTATAACAGAGTGCAATATAATATAATGTAATATTTTAATTTAGGTTCATATAGTGTAACATTAGGGTACATTTGATTAAATTGTTGAGAGCATCACAGCTTTGAGTGTTATGCAAACAAATTGGATGGCACCCAGTTAAATGTACCCAGTACGAAAGTGAAGATTGGTGTGTTACTGTGTGATTCACTTTTGATGGTGGCTCTGAGTGAGAAATAACCATGGAGCGGCCGTCTCTAGGCAATGTGAATCGTTTAATGGCCGACGAGATTAAATAGGGGTTTTTTTGGGGGGGGGGGGTGGAAAGAAAGGCACAAACAAACAGAAAAGCTGGTTCGCGCCTAATTTGTGTAAAATTTTGGTCTACCAACTTTTTAAATGCTTGTATTACTTCCACTAAATCGAAGGCATTGTTTCGATTGAGCTTCCTTTGTTTGAAGTGACATCTCTGGTGGCTGTAACTATTAGCATTAGGAGGATGGATAATGACAATGTTTCACTTCAGACAGACTGTTAAGGAGAATGTAACGGCAAGGGACAGTGACACAGGGGCCCTTCCTGAACCACATCACCCAAAAGCCTGTAGCGACATCACAGCCGAAAACAAGCCAACGTAATGATCCGTAATGATCAAAATTCTGCATTGCAATAAACCTGGGAAGGATAAGACAAGTCTTTAGATAAGAGTAATTTCATGGGGCATGAAATATGCTTTGTTTCTCCGGAATACTAATGTAGTGCAATTGGTATGCTGATGCCTAATGATCCAACGTCATGTCCTTGAATCATAACCATTATCAAAGAGCAGGTGCCACCACAGTTAGTTTTAGCAGGGGTGTTGAAAAGGCAGGACAAAGCATAATATACACAGACAGGCGATTGGATAATGATAAGTAATTAACTCGATGCTGGGAACTGACAGAAGGTCTGGTGTGGGTGAAGTGAAGGGGTATCTAATCTTTTCAGTGTCTCAGGGAGATGATTTAGTTAGTATGCTTTTGGTGCCCGTTGGCGTGCTTGACGTGCTTGTGATTAATTTAGAAGTCCTTTTTAGCCCTTTGTAGACAGTTGAAATTTTAACACTTCCGTCCAATAGTTTCATCAATTAGGTATGGTGCACGTCAAATTAAGTGTGCCTGACATTTTCTGTCAAGTCTAAGACAAAAGAGTAATTGGTATGAATATTTTGTAAGCACACAGCTCACCGTTTGCTGGACAAAGTTTGTTGGCTTAAGGAGCTGCAGTTTGAGGCAAATGGTGGAGTAAACAGTGTCGTGCGATACTGTATATAGGGGGGTGGACCTTAAATTTGAAGTAGCTAAGAACCAAGCACAAAAGCAGCTATATCAGTGAGTCATATTAAGTTCAACGTCCATTAGTGTCCACTAAAAAACAGCTCTGACAATCAACATTTAAATATGTCTCCAAAGCAACATGAGGTAAGTAACAGCATTTCAATGAGGCCTGAGTCAGGAATAAAATATAGTGAAAAAAGGAGTAGCATTTAAATATCATATATATAATTTTTAAATGCTACTGTTTTTTCATATATATATACAGTATATATATATATATATATATATATATATTTAAAAAATGCTACCCATGAACAAACCACGTCAGCAAGAAGTGGTTGCTTAGAGATGGTTGTTAAAAGCTGTAAATCAACAGCCTGATAAATTACCACAGAATTGATACCATGGAATAACCACTCCAGTGACCCAGTCTTGACGAAATCTACATTATGACCTGAACAAACCTGGTAATTAAGCTTATGGTTCAGAAATCACTTGTATCCAGAGCCAATGCACAAACAGCTATAAAATGGAGTAAGGAGCAGGAAAATTGGACCCTTGAGCAATGGAAATAAGTATAATGGTGTGTTGATTTGTTTGTTACTCTTTTTTACATTTGGGTGGATTTACATTTGGACAAAGCCAATAAGATCCCTGTGACCCATAATGTCTGCTGCCAACTCTTAAACATGACTGTCGATCTGTAATGGTATCTTTGGGGAATCATTAGGTCTAAAAATGACTCTGCGTGATTGTGTAAGAGCCAGGGCCATGTATCAGACTGAATGTACCCTATTGTGCAAATAGTGATACATCATGATGTTTCCATATTTGAAAGTGCAAATGCCACCATACATGCAGCTAAACAAACTAGAAAGTTGTTTTATAAACATCAGCATGAAGTTAATCCTGTTGCAGGTTCTCCCCAGTCAGCTGCTCCAAACATCATTGATCCATCCATTTTCTGTAATTGCTTGTTCTATTCAGGGTCATGGGGGTCTGGAGCCTATCCCAGAGACTAAGAGTGCAAGGCAGGAAGCAATCCAGGACAGGGCACCAGCCATTGTAGGGTACTGTACACTTACACACCATTCATTCACACATATAGCTATGGGCAGTGTGGTAACTCCCAATTAACCTCAGCATGGTTTTGGACTGTGGGAGGAAACCCTAGGACAACACTGGGAGAACATGCAAACTCCACACACATGGAACCCTGGAAGGGACTTGAACCTGCGTCCCAGAGGTGTAAGGCAACAATGCCAACCACTGCACCGCACTCATCTTGTTTTCCTTCTGAAAGAACATTCCAGAATCCTGTTTCACACACATCAGGTCTGTATAATGGCGTTCGTAGAAGGACTGAAGCTGTTCTTAAGACCCCCTCCATATTAGTTTCTTCTTATTCCTATAATTTTACGTGTTTCTATTGTTTTGTGTGACCTTTGTAGGAATATGGTGTACAGTGTCACTGTTTTGTCCAAGAAAGTGTATAATATAGGATAAACAAGAAATATGATATTTTCAGTACTCCCTTGTGATAAATTTGGTGTTTTCAAACTTGTGCCGACTTTCACGTTCAGTAGCGTACTGTTTACAGGCCTCTAGGCAGAATTTTCTGTGGCTGCAGTGAAATTAAAGCTGTATATAGCACAGGATCTTCATTGACTTTTCTTGCATTTAGATTATGACCATTTAGCCTGATAAAGAGGGAGCGTAAATTCTTTAGGGACTATGTAAGGTGAGTTTTATCTTTAATTTGTGTAATGATGTTTTGGCTCCAGAACTCCTTCAAGGCGTTTTGAGAGATGAGAGATGCCTTTCTGCGAACCATTGTTGTACTGAGCTGAGTTTTTTGCACTTCCTGTTAGTTTTAATGAATCTGGCCATTCTGCTCTCCCCCTGTTATTAACAAGGTGTTTTCACCCACCTAACTGCCACTGACTGGATGTTTTTTGTGTTTATCACATTGTTCTCTATAAACTCTAGACATGGAATGGTGGCTGTTTTGAGATTCTGGAACCACCATATCTTACACCAGCAATCAAACCTTATTTACAGTCACATGTCTGAACCATTCTAATGTGTGGCCACACATGAAGAGCACTTTTTGACCCTGTCCGCATATTGTATAGATTTAGTTGCAACCACGTGATTGGTTGTTTGCAGTAACGAGCAGGTGTACCTAATAAAGTAGCTCCTGGGTATATAAATAAACATTTTAAACAGCTGTGCCTTTGTTTCTCCAGTTAGTTCAATGGCTTTTCTTGTCTTCCTGTCAGTGAGCAGTTTGTATTTCTTTGCGCACGTATAGTGCATTCTAGAATAAACAAATAGAATTTAAAATCTGCCTGTGCAAACATAAAGCTGAAGGAAGTAACCAATATTCCCTGCTCAAACTGTAAGTAAAACTAGCATAACCCTGCAGATGGATTCATTATCTCTTAGAATTTATTTCCCTCTCTCCTTCCTCTCTTTTCAGCCTGCTTTGGCAGATATGTTACATCCTCAATCTAGTAATAGTAGTTCTTCATGGATATAAAACATTTCATCCAATGAACCGAAAGCACAAAAGGCCATCTGTTGGGATGCTATGTCAAAGAGCACAAGCTGTGAGTCTAAGCTTAGCTTTGTATCAGAATACATTTCCTCTGTAAATCGACCATCACAACCTCTGTTGCTAATTTATTTAGCACATATGTTATAGGGCAAAAAACCCTCTGTTTACTGAATGCAATGCATCACACAGTATGTGCAAGTACTGTATATGTCAACATTAAGTGTCTTAGGGTTTTTTTAGTGGCTAATTGTAGTTTTGAAGTTGTTGTGCTTGGCAAATGTGCTCAAAATGGGGTTACAGAGTGTAATTGTACTCGTCACCTTTGGCAAGTTTGGGAGTAAGGGGCAACTTGACAGACGTATTCCTTTAATCCCTGTTTTAGTAACTTATTTGTACAGTTCAATGTTTCAAAACTATGATAGAGTATAAATGATGCCTACATTCTGTCGCGTACTGGTATGCGTAAGAAAAACCTAAAGAAAACATTTTGAAATATACTTAAAATTGCCTTTAATGTCACAGCAAAAATAAAAAGCCATACCAACCCCATGTTTCCGTTAAAGTGCATTGCACTGATCTGGCCACTCTGCAAAGTATAAAAGCCCTGTTAATGTACTGATGGATGGGTGAAGAGACCTTGTCTGAACTTCCTCCTTACTTGTTAGATGCTTTAAAACGCAAACAGTGCAGACTCTAAAATTTTCTTGTCATATGGCCTGACATTATTTTCACCCCTGTGACTCAGCACAGGCTGTTCGTGGAGCTTCTGATGTTCTCATGTGGAAATCAAAGCCTGCAGCCATTGTCTTAGCCCTTCCTAAGATCTCCGTTTACATCTCCATCTACTCCCATTTTGATTGGGCCGTTATTACTCTTTTGAGGGCTTTCTTGGTGGGGTTCGGTGGTAGAAATCAAATAATAAATGATCAAAGTGCTCAGGAAGAAAAGGCAGCTGTAACGTGACAGAAGGTCAAACGATACAGATTTAGTGCACCGGTCCCAAAAGCAAATGGTCTTTTTGAGCAGTTTGGCTGTGGGTTATAATGGCCGGAAGTACTCACAAGGGTGAGTTGCAAATGAAATCGTATTAGCATTTTTCACAGACTAAATTCACAGTACCTCATAAAATTAACTTCTTTTGCTCTTGGGAGAGTGAACATTTCAAAGTAACACACCAGCAAATTGCTCTCTTAAAAAAACTGGGGATGTTCCCTAACAACTTCTGTATTTTTAGCTCCTTGGTTGTGCACACGCGTGTGGGTCAATTATGTTACATTGTAGGGACCAAATATCCTGTTATTTTGATGTTGTGGGGGGCATTTTTTTCAGTCCCCACAAGGGGAAACTCAATTCGATAAAAATCTGTGACTGCAATCAAAAAACTAAAAATGCCAAAAGTCTTTGTTTGGTTTCTTATGGTTAAGGTTAGGGCTGGGTAGAGGTTAAGATTGTCATTGTTGGGATTAGGGTTTTGCAAATAGAAATTAATGAACCATAGGGCTCTGTGTGGGCCAGTTAAGTTCTTCCACACCAAACTCACCCAAGCATGTCTTTATGGGCCTTGCTTTGTGCACTGGGGCACAGTCATGCTGAAACAGAAAACGGCCTTCCCCAAACTGTTCCCATAAAGTTGGATGCATTGAATTGCCCAAAATGTCTTGGTCCAAAATATCTTTATTGTTCCAAAATAACTGGATGAGACATAGTCAGGTGAGTTTGATATGGAAGAACTTGACTGGCCCACACAGAGCCCTGACCTCAACCCCACCAAACACTTTTGGGATGAACTAGTATAGAGATTGTGAGCCAGGCCTTCATGTCCAACATTAGTGCCTGACCTCACACATGCTCTTCTAGATGAATGGGCAAAATTCCCATAATCTTGTGGAAAGCCTTCCTAGGAGATTAGCAGGAAATGGGGGGACCAGCTCCTTATTGATTCCTATGGGACGTCATAAAAGCTACTGTGGGTGCAATGGCCAGGTGTCCCAATACTTTTGTCTGTGTAGTTTGAGACTCATTTTCAGTAGTTTTAATTGCTGTAATTGTTCTGGCTCATGTATATTCCCCAGAACCAAAATTAGTGTAATTCCTCCTTTGCACACAGTAAAATTAACATTAAAAAGGTCAGCGCTCCTCATTATACGGTAACTGTAAGGCGGACTTTGGGGGATTCGGAATGATCGCCTAACCCCGCAGCCATTCTGTTGGGTGTTCTAGACAAATCCTAAATATAGATTTCATAGATGTCTGTCTCAGGCTGGGGTAATTGGGGAACATCATATACTTGCATCCTAAAAATGAACAAAATTATCACAGTAGTCATAATTCCCCCTGAAAATTTCACCTGAAACCAGCAGACTGTGGCATTTTGGTCATATCTAGCATACAGAGTACTGCTCACTTGAGGGTTCCTTTGGGAGATCAGCACTTGTACTAATAAACCAGCTTAGCAGGCGCACATACGCACTAGGTTCTCTGGTTTTATATATTGACGCATCCAACAGCAAAGAAATCATTTAATCTTGTGATAAATACCAAATACAAAAATTGTACTCGTTTGCTAAAAGTGTTGCAGCATTGCATAAAAAAGTGCGTTATTGTTTCCTCAGGGGCAAATTCTAGTAAGGGCAATCAGAATCCAGTTTTTTTTTAACCAAGTATGCATGCATACAAAGAATTTGATGCGGTGCATTTGCTCCTATTACACAAAGAGCTAAAGTTGGTCCACCTGCCCAGGGCAGCATCGTTTAAGGCAGGCTGACTGACTGACAATCTGCTGCCACCAACCCCTAACTCATCCACTTTTGTTCGCATGCTTCAGAGACAAAGTGAAATTTGGTGGTGAATTTCGCCTGGGCGGGTGTGTCTGCGTGCCCAGGACTCACGTGGGCTGTCACATGCAGTGTTTGCCCATCAATATATGAGAATTGAATCGCATGCTTCAAGTGTGTATGATTATTTTATCACCTGGATGTGCTTTTTAATTGCATATCAGAACCACTAGCTTTTTGGTCTGGGTAGTTCTGTTCATGATTATAATCAGAGTGCTATTTGCAGAGGTCTCCTGGTGCTTATTGGTCTGGGATGGGTTTCCGCTATTGTCATGCAACATGAAGTCTGTGGGCTTCCTTGCAATTTCTCTCTGAAATTGGACCAGTACTTTTACAGCCATAAGGAGCCAAGCCTGTATTCTGGGATTTACTGGCTTCTGTCAATATTATTAACTATTAGACTGCAAGTTTCTTTCCATGGCAATGGAATAAAAAACGGTTTCTGTGGTAGGATTGCTCTCTCCAAACGAGCATGCAAAAGAGCACCTGAACGCTGAACGATTCTTCTGAACGCTGTTATTTGGGCAGATTGGACACTTTGTAATTGTAGTCTATGAACGATTCCTGACCATAGCAGTGCGTTCTCGTGGAAAACATAAGGTCCAGGAGGCGGGTTTAAACATGTATTTTGATTGGTTGGAAATCCCAGGTCATGTGACCAACTGGAATACTTAGGAAAAAAAATAGTTGCTTCAAAGGTTGGGGCACAATTTATGTTTTTCGTTTTAACTCCTTTGAAAGTTGGCTTTTTTAAAATAAACATGCTTTGTCATTATCTTTCACATCAATATTAACTTGGATTTGGTGAAGATAAGACGGTCAGATGTGTTTTAATATGTAAAGCTGTAGAAGCTAAGGAGCTGCACTTTCTGTATATCAATAAGGTATTAATTTTAAAACAGAAATAGTAAATGGCTCTTACACAGCATGTTCCCAATGATTGTTGCACCGTAATCTATTTTTGCTTTGTATAAAGAACTGCTGCAAACTTGCAATCCAGCACTAAGAAAATCTTTTGAAAAGTTTTCTAATGTAACTCCTTTTTGCTTAAGAACACTTTTGTTCATTATGATAGTTAGTGGGCATTAGTCTGAAGGCTCAAATGCACCAGTTTTTGTGTCCACGTCTTAATTTATTAACTTATCCCCTCACTGTCATCTCCTTCTGTGAGGGTAAGTTTGTCCATTTGGATGTAATTATGACCAGTTCATACACAATCACGCTTATTATAATCGTGTTGCTAATCTGCTTGTCTGAGAGTTTGTGCCCTGGGATGGTTCCTGAGACCCTGCACTGGATAAGTGGCTATGGAAATTCGCAGGTGTTCCAAAATCTGGATAGAAGTTTACTAAGGGCGAGTCCTCCAAAAGACATCTAGTAGCAGACAATTTAACCAAAAAAAACCTGCCAAATGACAACTACATTATCACTGTATCAAGTAGGATCATTTCATGAATAATACAGCTTGCTCTTGCGTTTGATTGTGATTGTTTTGGATCATGCTAGATCAAAAACCGAAATATCAACTATGAGTATACACGATACAGTTTACTTACAAGAATAGCTGCAAGGACACAAGAAGAGGGAAAGAAGAATGGACAGTCTGGTCACCCAGTAAGAGCTAATGGAAACCTTACATCAAAATGCAAAGCGGTTTATGTACCTTAGGGTTCTATTTTAGTTCATATAGGAACAGGAAAAGTGCAACGTACAAATCTGAGCCTTAAGACCCGTATGTCACCAGGGGCAACATGCCATTTTTAGTTGTTCTGTTACCTAAAGATTAGAACCAGCCTCCTGCTGTTTCTTCAGAGACCTGAAAGCAGTGTGCCATTTGGTATCAATTCATAAGCCCAACCGTAACAAAAGCCAGGCCCGGGAAGGGGGTATCAACGCTATTAACTGACGCCTCCTCCATGGGCCCTTGCGCGTGCAGAGGGGGGGTTGACACCACTGAAGGGGCCCATTAACGTGGGGGCCGGGGGCCAGAGCTCGGCTCCGGAAGGC